TTGTGATAGAAAAGATTATATAAGAGATACTTTGTAACAATAGTACTAAGGACATTAATTATTCTTCTCTATTCATATATTTGATATTGTCCTTACCAAATGAATAGAGCCATTTTATATTACTGCGTTTGGATTCTGAGTCGGGGCGGGGGGCTAACATTCGTCACGTAAGTTACAGCCATTTGATTACAAAAAACACAATGTCATAGAAAAATAGCACATTACTCAAGAAATAATTTGTGATTCTTTTCAATATCTTTTATCTGAAAAATAGCAACGGCTAGAAGCCCAACAAAGATTACCCCTCTAGCACGGGAAGTGAGTTCATTGGGACATGGAGTATATGGACACTTACTTTTTCAAATCTCAAAACATCTTTAAATGGGGAATAAGCTCCAAATCACTCAGGTGAGGCAGTGCACCGGGTACTTCTGTACGTGCTCTATATTAGGGCTTTTAGCTCAAAATCCCAGGTGCCTATATGTCCAGACAGAGTTTTTGTGGATGGTTGTCTTGGTCTTCCCTAGCTATCTTCCATCCTGGCCGTCACCTCATCACCTCCCAAATTGCATCACTCCAGTTCTCACCTCATGTCATCCAAAACCTGAGTTTACCTCCAAATGTTGCTGTGAGACAAATGAAGTCAGAAGTATGATCTGTGACAACAATGCAAGCCAGGTCCATGTCAGCCAAGTGACTGTTCTCCATCTCCACGCCTGTTACGCAGAATTGCTTCCATCGCATAGTCCCTCTTCAAAAAGGTGTTTAGGCAGAACAGTAATTGCAGTGAAGCTTTTATAAAGGAGTATTTACAGGCCTACAGCTATGCTTCTGTTGGAGCATCTTGCTAAGTAAATCCCACAAGACATTAAAGCTGCGAGATAAACACCAGTGGTTTTAAAACTAAATAAACACAGCAAATCATTGTGAAAGCTGATTAAGGAAAGTAAAAAACATGTGACGAGTGCTACTAATGATCACTACTAAACAGCAATAATAAGAACTACGGTGTTCAGCAGTAAAGTTTTCTTTAAATGCATGATAATTTACAAAGGAAATATAAAATTAGACTTTTCAGATATTCCCAAGATTTCCAGGGTTTTAATTCTAAAGAAGAAAGCTTCTTTAGTGAAACCCTAATGGGTTCCTGAAGAATAAGAGCATTAAGAATGATAATAAAAGCTACCTACAGATTGCCTAAGAAAGCAATAAATCTTCTATTCCTTACAGTTATCATTGTAGCTACTGCTACCTTTCTAAAACAAAACAAGCACACTTAAAAGAAACAGTTCCTGGCACTCTCTGAAGTTGAACACCCTGACTAACTAAGACAATGGCAAGACTTTCATGAATGCCATAAAGACAAGGAGTCACTCATGCTCTTCCTCATATGCATTTGTGACGGGAACAATTCTGCCGAAACAAATCTAAATTCACAAATGAACCAAAAGGGAAAAAAGCACAACCCAAAACAATCTCCCCCCCGCCAACCTGTACACCCATATTCCTTTAACACCTATCTTGTACCATCAAGAAAGAACAGGCCTTTTTTACTTATTGCGGTGTAAACAGGGAGTACAGATAATACTCAGCCTCCGATTCCTATGGCGACGCTCTAAGCAGGCAGACAGGTGTAGGAGAGTAAGGCAGAGAGTGTAAGGGAATGGTAGCAAAAATCATGATAGTCTCATGGATTTGTTTGTTATTTAAATCCTTTTTTTCCCCTCCAGTGTTCTGCTGCAAGGGAAGAGTTGATTATAAAATGAAACAAGAATGCAAGCCCTGAATTAAATAAGCCATCAGCAAGGAGGATGGTATTAAGAGTGAAAACCTGCAGGAAGTGCCTATGAAACAATATCCTAAAGTCCTAACAGGGAGAAAAAGAATCCCTAAGTCAAAATAAAACAGCTGCATAGAAGCAGATGATTAGCGTGAATGCAAAGCAGGTTACAATAATAACTTGCAGTGCTCTAAGGGACCTGCTTCCACTGGCAAATACCCACTGCACGCTGGCCTCTTAGTTGGGTCCTGGGCAATATGCAACAAACATAGAAAATGAAATGGTTAAAACAAAGTATGTGCCATTCTGCATTTTATTCCAAAGTCTGTCTCTAAGTAGGTATTATAACTCTGACTTTTCTAATTATTTAAAGGTTAAAGCACAGACACAGAAATAGATTTTCTTAGACTTCATATTTATAAAAGAGAGCAGTAATTCTGTCATTTTTTTTCTTCATTATCCATTTATCACTGATAATGGCGGGGGGAACCCAACAACACTTAATTCTACGAAGAAACACTGACATTGTAATTAGCCTTAAAAAGTACACAATAATTCAAGCAAGCCAGTTTAATTTTAGTTTTTTTCCCTCCATCTTGACTAAAGAATCATTTTTGGTTAATAAATCTGAAGGTTGGCTGTAACTTAAACAACAGAAAAAAAACCCAGTTTTCAATCCTGCCACTGCTCAGTTACTGAGGTGAATACTGGAGTTCTATTTTTAAATTGTATGAATGTCTTAAAAAAAAAAAGTCAAAGGTATAAGAAAATGTACAGACTGTATATTTTTTTAATAAAACATTAAGCTTTATAAAAATCTGTTGTTAGCCACTGTTACAAGAACAACTGTAGGTCTTTCACGAACAAAAAAAAGTTTTTTTTAATTAAATTATAAATTATTTTAAGGTAGTGAAGTACTATAAAGTATTTTCCATACAAAAGAAAATGGATTCTGAGACAGAAAAAACACCTGATAAGGTGATACTGAAACATTCAATTTACAGCCTTAAGAGAGCACAACGAGGATTTTCAGCATGTTCAGTGATCATGTAAGAGAAAAGCTCAGCGAAGACGTTTTGAAATGCTACATTGGAATGCATTTGTTTTAAGTAGAGATCAAACCACATGTGTTTGGGACTAGTAATGGAATTTTTCATTATCATTCTTCTGACTACAGCCCAATTCAATTTCAGAGCATGCTTAAATTTAGGCACATAAATGCTCCTTTTGACTTCAAAGTATGGATTCATGTACTGAACTGCTTCCTGATTGGGGAATCATGTCAGTTTTGGTGAAGATAAAACTGCTTTTCTCAAAAGGTATTAAATAGTAACATTTCCTCTCATTCACACTGAAAAACAAACATAGAGAAGTATTTACCTATACCATAGCGAATTAGCAGTATCATGGATAGGGATGAATTTGTAAGAAAATGAACTGATATTGAGCTAATTCCTGGGAAATACTGCAGCGATTGATATTTTACCCACTTTCTCACTAATAGTGGACACATGAAAATGGATCAGGTGGCTCTTCCCCTCAATTGAAAAACTAGATGGTGATGCACAGCTACTTCTGTGGAAAATGAGCAGTTTGGCCAGGGGAAGGGATGCCCTCCGTGCCTCCTTTTCCCAGAGTACTGACCCCTTCTCACAGCTCAACAAAGGCACAACAAGCCACAGGACAACAGATAGAAAACACGCGTCATGCAAAAGGCAGCCAAGAAAACAAAGGCCTGGGCTCTTCTTCCACAGCCACCACCACTGGCACGTCCATCCCAGTTTGAGGCAGGGTGATGGCGAGAAGCCTGGTGGGGAGCACGGGGCAGCTAAAGGATGGAACTGGCAGGGCACCCCTTGGCCCTTGGGCCTGGGAAGCAAACAGGCACCCTCGCTGCGTGGCCAGTGGGGAGGGAACAGCCCATGCTCCATTTCCACATCAAAAACCCCACACATAATTGAGGGAAAATTATTATTATTAATAATAATAACATAGAAAAGTGAGAAACTTTCATTTCCCAAGCTTGAACACACAGGACTAGCAATATTGCTCTTCTCCAACTCAGGTGGGAGGCAAACCCAACTAATCGTCAGTGTTGCACACACTTATGAAAGGGTCAGAGAAAAATGCATTTCTTTTATAAAAGGGAGAGTATCATCATACAAAGTCATGCCAAAAGGCCATAGGAGAAGTTTAGCTTTGCTCAGTTTGCAGTGATTCTTCTGAAAACCAGAAAAAGCCTCCTCAGTGCTCCTACCTAGCCCACTCTTTTCTCCACTCCACCTTCTCAAGTGCAAACACTCCCTCAAACTTCTGCTTGGCAGCAGTGGTCCCTTCCCTCTGCTGTTGCTGAACCGCCAGGAGAGGCAACCCTCTCTGGACCCGTTTCCCTCTGCATGATGGGCATTGCTGCACCGCACGGTCAACTGATGGTATAAGATGGTACCAAGGCCCTTCACAGCCACCAGTAGCAGAGTGGTTTCAGAAATGCATGCATCAGGGTAAATGATGATGCTCAACTGAACAGAATTACTTCAACTTCCTAGGTTATTTCTACAGAAATTGGTATCAACATTAGTTTGAACTTGCAGCAAAAGAGACTTTTCTGTTTCAGGAGAACAACAGGCAAAGATAGGGATAGACCTAAACCACACACAGAGAAGCAACAGAAGGGTGGGGAAGGTTCTCTAGATTGCACTCCCAAATGAAGCCTGTTAAGCAAGTGCTTCTCAGTACCTAGTTCTGGATTTCTTGAAGGTAGGATGTACAAAAACGTACAGAAAATATTCTAGCCTCATGGGGACATGTGTCACCTTAACAGGTGTCTAGATGATACGAATTGTATGAAAGAGCAGATGACTAAAGTCCAATACATACAGACATTTTGAACCAGACAGTTAATTAAAAATTAAATACAAGATATAAGAAATTAAATATGCAAATTACCAAGTAGATTTCTTAAATTTATAGCGATGATATGAGACTAGAGAACCCAAGATGAATCTTACTGCTGAGCTATGCAGAGGCATATACACAGCACAACCCAGACTAGTATTATAAAACCAGGAAGCAGAATTTTTATAAAGCATTTACTAACTATTAGAATCCCCTTATTTTTGTTAGACACTGATATAAACAGATTAATATAAAATTGTGTGAAGAAGGTAATGGCCATTTACAATTTAGGAAAAAATAAATTGCTAAGCAGATGTTCTCATACCTGTTGTACTATTGTTGTTAGTTCCAGACAGAGCTGTATGACATTATTTCTTGTTACTGAGTAATCTGTGACAGCAGCAAAAGGTGATCTAAAAGAAAAGAAGAAAAAAAAACCATTGAATAGCACTAGCATATATCTAATTGCTTCACTGGTGTACAATGCACTTAATACACATTGTTTCTAGAGATATTAAAATCACACAGAATACCCAAAATGTACTACTAAAATTGTAAAATACAGGATACATATCCATGGAAAAGTTTCATCTCTCCTTGGTTTTGCAGTTTTTAAGTTCCTCTTTAAGAAATTCCATTTATAAAAGCATTATTTCTCACAGCCTTCCAGTTTAATTCTGGACTGCCTTTACTCCCCCAGAAAAAGCCCACCTTGCTTTCTGCATTTGTTTGGGAATACCCTCATAGAGGCAACCAGACGCATCGCTTCCACCTGTGATATGAATGGTGTCCAGATGTGAATCAGATCAGAAAAGCATTTGGCTGATTCACTGGGATTCCTGGGACCTGATCTAATATCTGGTAAAAGTACTGGAGGGGCTCAGAAATAAAACCTTTATCCAAAGGGGAGAATAGCATTTAGAGCCAGATATGCATCAACATTCAGAAGCAGATGCAAAGGCTAAATTGGAGGCACAACCGAACATCCCCACACACTGTGCTACAATCAGAAGTGCTTAGTGAAATGAAAAGTGTAATCCAGCATTTAGAGATTTCACCTACATGTATCCTATACCTTAAAACTTCATGTTAGAATGTTTAAAATGCTTGCCTACCTAGAAGCTTGCTTGTTTTCTAGAGGCACTGCTAAAATGTATTTGGTTAGTGAGGCTGGCAGTCATCTGATTTCTGTACTACAAGTCTGTGTTAAATTATTAACTCAACTTGGCCTATTTTCTATATTCAAGAAGTAGCCAAACACTAGGCAGGACTGGTATTTTCTCCAAGAGGAGTCAAGATTTTGACTTCATTAGTGTGGCAAATGAGGTTTTTATGGGCATTATTAGCAACGCAAGGATGGCATTTCTCCCTAATATACCTGCTTCAAACATTTAAAACAAAAAAGGGTGGCAAAGAACCACAAGGACTGTAATGTCTGAATAAACTAACAACAGTAATAACAGATCATGCAATGTGCCCAGATCTCTAAACAATACTTTAAGTGTGGTTGCCTTTAAATTAAGCTGGGTGACTAGTCCATTCTCCAACTGCCTTCTTTCATCACATTTTAGAGCATACATATTTGTATATACCTTTAAGAGTTTTACAGTGCTGGTTGGTATTATGCCTTCCTCATTTAACCCTGAAGACAAGTTTCCAGTACAAAGAACTCTGCTATAAGCATGTCCAAATGATAACTCAAATATAGTTCTACTGGTTCTTAATAGGTTTCTAAATTTCTTTTCCATATGCAGAATTACTGAAATTTTAGTGCAGGCAGATTTGGAACTGTCTGTAAATAAACCCATGTGAACTTCCCTATCTCCTCCTGCTTCTTCTAATGCCACCTTTTTTCTCCAGGGCTCCCACTCCAGCCCTGATGGTTCATAAGACAGAATGAACTTTGAGGTGCATACTCAAGTCTAGCAGCTTTAATTTGATGTAATACATCATACAACAGCATATACTTTCTGCCCGTATTTTCTAGGGAGAAAAGCAGTACATTCTTTTTAAAATAAAAGTACAGAAACTGGAAGCTAGGCAGAGTTTAAGAAACACAAAAGCAACAAGAGAGTGAGGACTTAGTAGACAGCATATGGGTAAGTTCCAAAAGGTGCCTTACAAAAGCTATTTGACACAGACATGTAATCACAATTCAAAGTCCAAGTTTTATGCAGTATATGGCAACTGTAGAGTAGGTACACATGACGGCAGGCCTACCCACAGACACACGCACAGAGTATTACTGAAGTTCTGGAGACGTGAGCATATTAAAGGATAAAAGGTAACTGAACTCCTTGGTTATGAACCATAATTGTGTTTTAAAAAGTACATTAGCCAAGATGTACAAAAACACTGATAGTTTTCCTTTCAAAATTGTAACCATTGAGGTTCTGAAATCTACCTGAAACCTTGATTTAAAAAGGTCATGTTCATTTATGAACTCACTTTTATTGAAGATAAATGGAATCAAGCCAGCAAATGGTATTATTTTACTTTAAGTACGGATGTTAATACAATTTGATCCTCAAACTACACAACTGGAATCTATTTGACATTTCAAAGCCTCCAGCATTTCTCTAAACAAAATTGCATGGTAGGCTTTGACTTGTAATACCGCATCATCTTCCCTCATACTTTTACAATTTAGTTTGGTTTCATGGTTCATGAAGAAAATAATGACATTTTTACCATCGTTGCTCTTAGTGAAGATCCTTAGAAATGCCCCAAATAAACTTTGTTGACATTAAAAAAACAGGCAAAGGGACTGAAACATTACTCATTTTTGTTACATTGACGTTTACACAGTGAAGATTTACTGAAAACAGCATGTGAAGCAGGCAGCAAGCGTGCCAGCAGGAGAGAAAAGACTACTAAAAATCATTAACTAACATGTAATATTTTGAAAAGCACTTCACAACTTGGAAGGATAAGGAGACAGGTCCATGTTATACGGACTTTGCTCCTGCAGAAAACGTAAGGGGTCCTCAAGCTGCCTCCTCTATAGGTCTCTGTAGCTTATAAACTGACTCCCTCACATCAGTTTCTGCGATGCCTCTCTGGGGTATTGCTGCAAATTGGACCAGTAAAATTGAAATTCCCTTTCCTCTCCCTCCCCAGTTCAGACCACTTCCCTGGAGGCAATCTGCGCACACAACTATAAAGCCACTACTGCATAAGCAGCTGGGGAAATGGTAAGGACAAAAGCCTCTTTAAATATTTACTACCAAAGGAAACGTATTTTGGTATTACATCCCAAGGCTCAATTTCAACAGTGAAACTCCAGCAAGACTTAGCATAACAACATGCCAGCAGTTACAACCAAAATATCAACAGAAACTTCATTGTAGGATCCCTGACTGGATTTCATAAAAGACACAGTGTGAAACACCAATCTGACAAAAAACCTCTTCATTAATAATATATCCACTGACTGTAATTTTAATACAGCACAATAGTATTGACTTGCAACAGATGAAACAATATGTATAAATGCAAATAAAGTCTACATACACTACAACTTTTCAACCGACTGCTAAAACACTTTCCTTCTCAAGGCATCAGAAACACACCAAGTAAAAGGAATTCCTTGTTTAATTAGATTGCTTCTCTCTACTTTTTAAAAATTATTTCCTTGGCTTGGCTGAGCCATTTCTATCAACTTCCAATTTCTACTCTTTTCTTTCAAAGCCACATCTTTCACAGTCCCTTGGACCTTTAAGTCTCAGGCACCTCCCAGGCTCCAGTGAAGCAAAGTCCCTGAGAACAACTGTAATTTTCAACGTGTGCTGTCCAATTCAGTGCTCTTTAAGTTAAACAAGAACTAAAGAACTGCCCTGGACCGGGGCCATATGTTGCCCCACTTCCTGCTGTGACATTGACCTCAGTGTCCCATTGTCTCACCTCTCAGTCATTTCCGAGACCTTTTTCCACATACATTTCCCTATTTGTGGAACTTTTTTTACTCAGTTTCTCTTGTAATTCATTTGTTCTTCCTTCAAAACCTCTCTGTGATTCTCTTCCTTTGCAAGACCCACATAAAACACCTTTGTAGCTCCACAGAGCACCTACCTGACCACATGCCCTTTCCATTCACTTCCTCTTCGAGACCTCTGCTGGTTTCTCCTTTCCATTCTTTGTCTACCCCTTCTATGCCTGGTATCTTAAGAAAAGGAGATTTATGCAATCACATGAATACTTCTGCACACACGTGCAGGATGTTTTTGCCCTTGTTCTCACCTTCCGCCTTCTCCCATTCCAACATTTGAAGCCATTAGCCATTTTCAAACCACTTTCACAAATGAATGGGTAATAGGTTTCAAGGGTAATTAAGTTCATACATGTTTTGTGATCATGCCTGCAGCTGGAAAAGTGGGAGCCTCTTAATTTTGCCACTGTGCAAACCCACATATTGAGCCTGCACCTTATTAGACACCACAGATTCCAGCGAGATGAAGAGCTTCTAATTACCTCATTCACATGGGAAAAAACTTAAAATTGGTGCTTTTTTTTTTTTTAACATTAAAGTCAATCAGCTTCAAGACCCTGATCTATAGGAAATAAGGTTTCCCTAACACCAGGCATGACAGAGCTACTGGTTCTTTTCACGTTTTTTAAACCGGTGTTTGAGATAAATAATAAAACACCTCTGAAACATGAATTTGTTGATACATGTGTAATGCAGGCTGTAACACACATGCACGTATGTATACACTTTCATGAATTGAGACCTAATTAAAAATGTTAGCAGTATTAGCATCTTTCAGAATGAAAAAAAATATTATCTAACACTAATTCATTAACCCACTCTGAAGGATTGGTAGAAAAACCAGCTACATCAGTATAGCACAGCTAATTCCCTCACAGAATCAAGAAATAATACGAATCAACAGCTATTAATACTCACAGCTACTGATTGCACATGAAGGAAAATCCTTCCCAAACAATTAAAAGAAGATGTGTATTGTGAAGGATATGCATACACTTGGTATTTCTACATTACCAACATTTTTGGCCTCATATGCTTTAGCCTCCTCATCTGTCTTCTTCATATAACATTCGGTTAGTGGAAAATCGTACATAGAAATAACTATTTCACTTTAAAAAGTTGCAATTTGGATAAATACAGACCGCTGTTAGTAAAAGCATTGCCCCAAAATAAAAGTTAATCATATTTCACCACTAGTTGCAGTACTGAGCTATTTTATAACAATAGACATCGTGAGGGGTTTAAAACCAGTATCATACTTACTTTAGCATCCTAACAAGCAAAAACATCCTCAGAGCAATTTAATTAAACATAACAGTCCAAAATCTTTTAGAGAGAGGTAACCAAATCAGTAATATAACTTGGTCTTCAAAGGTTACACATTAAGCTCAAATAAAAATCTGAATGTACAATATTGTTGCATAT